TGTGTGTGTGTGTGTGTGTGTGTGCTCCTCGCTGCAGGACGCCGTTTTTCCAGAGATGGAGGATAAATAAGAGGAGGAAGCTCAGACTTGTGAGTCTGAAGATGAAAGTTGTTCCAAACATGTGAGTGAGACACACACACTCGTCCTCTGAGTGAATGATGGAGAGAATCGAGCATGAGAGAAGAAGGTTACTCTTATTAAAACCAAACACTGTGGGTGAGAGAAGAGGGAGAGTAAACACAAAGAGAGAACAGATGAGACAAATCATAAACTGATGGAGAGGAGGAGGAGAGGAGGGATGAAGGAGAGGAGGATGAGAGGAGGATGAGAGGGCCAATGCGTTATGAAAGCTGGGGCCACAGGTGGCCCCTCTCGACTCTATCAGGCAGAGGAGATTGTGATCCGCAGGAAGAGGAGGATCGATGGGTGGAGGAGAGATTGAAAGAAAACAATAAAAGTGGAAATTATCTGCTTCAAACATGTCCCCGAACTTTAATGTCCTCCTGTGTCCTGAACTCATCCATCATCGTCAATGTCGTCTCAGCTGATTCTCCCCCTGACATCCCGAACCATCAAACACAGAATCGGTGCTGCGCCCGCATCATGTTAGATTTATGGTAGAGACTCAGATACAAAGAGGCAAACAGACAAAGATTCTCTCGCTCACGTTGGTGTTACCTGCACGACGCTGTGGAAAAATGACTCCACAGGTTCAGTTGTTGTTGACGCTTCACGTCTGATGATTTGATTTCACTCACGTTGTTATTTCACATTTTGTTTCATTCATCGCGTCTCTTTACATTTCACTGCACATCCTGTTCTGAACACGTGACCAATCACAAACCCTCCGATCCGTCTCAGGCTTTTATCGGACTCTGCATCCTCCTCACATTTCTGCACCAGTCAGCGTGCACACAGCCAGAAACACACACAACCACACACAACCACACACAACTACACACAGAGCTGCTGCGTATGTGTGTGTGTGTAGTCACAGTATGTGCTCATGCTGCAGTGTAGCAGTTGAACATGTATGATAAGATTTGTCCAGGGAGCTGCGGAGAAATTGCAGGCTGCAGTTTATCTGTAGCTGTGTGTGTGTGTCTGTGAGTGTGTGTGTGTGTGTGTGTGTGTGTGTGTCTGTGAGTGTGTGTGTGTGTGTGTGTGTGTGTGTGTCTGTGAGTGTGTGTGTGTGTGTAATATTCTCATTTCATTCATTATTCTCTCTCAGGAGCTGAGGTAATGAATGTGTGTATTCAGAGTGTGTTGTGTAAATCAGTTGATAAGAAGTGTGGAGCTACAGGGTCGTTCTGTGGCAGAGAGATGGACTGGACTGTGTGATCGTCCCTCAGTGTCCACACACACACACACACACACACACACACACACACACACACACACACACACACACACACACACACACACACAAACAACAGCAGTTCCCGGAGGTTTTGTCGTGTTTCTCTGCAGCTCTGTGTGAATAGAGTTCTGATAGTTTTCACTGCAGCTCTGAGTGAATTTGAAACGGACACACCGGGGAAATACACACTATATCCAGGTGATGGAGTGGAGGTGTGTGTGTGTGTGTGTGTGTGTGTGT